GCAATACTTATTTTGAGCAAAATACAAATTTTTATCCAAAAAGAAAACAAATAAAATGCTTGTTATTCTCGGAATCTTTTGATTAAGAATGATAAAATCGGAATAAATGCATTTTACCTTTAAGTAACAATAGACCGACAGAACCCCCGCTTTTCCTAGAACGACCCCAACATTTTTTTCGCACCCGCAAAAATTGCTCGTCCCGGTAAAGTGCATTTTACCCTAAAATATTAATATAATTTAGGGGTCATGTGGCGTAATAAAAGCATTTCATTTTTTATTAACAATAAAATACATGCACTGAACTATTTAGCAATCACAACAGTTAATTTGATCCTTAATTTAGTGAGCAACACATCTTTACAATAAATATTGTTTAATGTCCTGTGCTCATCGTATCCACATGGCATCAATTTGTCTCTTTCTGATAACCAACAGCAGAAAGTGTTTGTTATCTACATACAAAACGCCATACGTGATTTCGGATGGTTTGATGAGTTACCATTTTTGGTTGGGTTTTCGCACCAAAACATCATAGGTCAAATGGCGACTTTCCCGGTCTACTTGTAAAGGTAGACCACAGGAGCCTTCCCATGTATTAACTAGAGGATGCTTTTGTAAAAAAGCGCATGTCTCCCCCACTGCACTGTGACCTTGACCTTTGACCTACTGACCCCAAAAACAATAGGGATCATCTGCTCTATAAGACCAATCATCCTATGAAGTTTGAGGGCTGTAGGTCAAAAGGAACTCTAGTTATCATCCGGAAACGAGAAATTGACCAACGGTCACTGTGACCTTGACCTTTGACCTACTGACCCCAAAAACAATAGGGATCATCTGCTCTATAAGACCAATCATCCTATGAAGTTTGAGGGCTGTAGGTCAAAAGGAACTCTAGTTATCATCCGGAAACGAGAAATTGACCAACGGTCACTGTGACCTTGACCTTTGAACTACTGACCCCAAAAACAATAGGGATCATCTGCTCAATAAGACCAATCATCCTATGAAGTTTGAGGTCTGTAGGTCTAAAGGAACTCTAGTTATCATCCGGAAACGAGAAATTGACCAACGGTTCTGTTCTGTTCTGTTCTGTTATATGCGTTGCAGGTGATCTGTGTTACTGTAAGAAATTTATTTTTATGTTTCAGGCTTTAGGAGCCCATTTGCGTTCATTATCACGTGACATGAGATAGTGAAGCACGGTGAAATTTCGCTTGGTGAAAAACTCGGTTATTTTTCCAATTCTAGTGATTACTTGGACCTTTATTCATATATATTGGTGCTTATATTGTTTAATTTGGTAGTGACTAAACAGAAATGGAAAAACAGCTGAAGAATTCGACTTCTAAGAGTGATTTTGCACAGGGTTCAGCAAAAACACGCGGTAATAATGGCGCGTGTGTAACTACCCCCCTTCAGGCGGTAGCTGTTTGTTTGTGTTTTTTTTTCTTTTTTCATCTCTCATTCTCTCATGATAATTATTAATTTTCCTCTTACAAACCTCAAAAATAATATTGTACTGTGTAGAAATTTATTAAATAAAACCATGTCATGTGTTAAATAAACAAATATTCACTACTGTTATGTATACTCATGTGTTATATTGTATGTAACTTGGGTTAATAAAGATATGTTCTGTTCTGTTCTTAAATAAAGAGGACACCCGACTTCTAACTTTAACTATTATACGGAATCATTTATACGAACAAATAATGGATGGAATGCTGCTTAATGATTTGAAACAAGAGCAGCAAATACCAGGCTGGTTAAATTTTACTATCGCTATGAAATTTCAGGCTGACCTTACTGTTAAGTAGTACGGGAATTATCATAACAAGCATAAAGAAAAGGAAAGGTAACGAATGACAATCTTGAATTTGTTGCAGACGATGACGATAAAAAAACGTGACTTGGGACACTTAAGTTTTCACTTTTTGCTCAGCATTAAATGTTGCGGGAAATTGTCTTGTTAATAATTACTTAAATGAAAAATAATAATCTTTATGCTTCAATCGTATGAACTATTGTTTTACTGCCAACTGTATCTAGAGTTGAATCGCTCTTTAACGATGTATGACAGATGAGGACATAAATAAAATACATTTAAGTTGCGATTTAGATTTTAACTGTTTGTATTTGTCGCTGTGTTTTGTTTATGCTTGCAAAGAAAAACAACAAAAAGTTTAGGCATTGTTTTCTTTATAAAGATTCACACACAATTCAGACAGACAGACAACAACACAAGATTCAGTACTTCTTATTTCATTTATACATGGTCATTAATTTGAGCATTTAACCATAACATTTTATTAACTTTCAGGATTGAATCAAATACCTATAATAATGTCATCAGAGGTGCTTCAATGTAGCTTCAATGATTAAACAATCGGTTTTTTTTACATATTATAATTGGGCATCAAAATTGTTTATTATGCAATTTAAATCGATTCCAAGAAAACCTAGACATCTTCGATAACTGACGTTCAATCTTAATTGGATAGAACTACTATTCTGACATGCTAAAATAAGATGTGCAAATAAATTCATATTTTCAAATAGTGATTTAAGGACAAGCTGTTTTAAATGCGATATGGCTATGATTAACAATCCGTCAGTATTTAATTTATTTTTTAATATAAATAACAATTTATAAAAGTACGAAAATAATTTGAATAGAAATGTAAAATCATTGATTATCAAAATATAAATATTAAAATATAGTGTGCATGTATGCAATTTGATTTTGTTACGGCATATACAATCTTACTTATATTTTTTATAAAAATCAACAAAAAACATGGCGCAGCAATGCAGCTCCGGCCAAACGAGCTACACAAAAAAATCAAAGGACCAAAACGCATATAAATGGCACTAACAGGTGAATTCAACCAGATAATTAAATAATTAAATTGGTTCTAGGTCAATCAACTATCCGTGCCATATATCTTAGTAAAATGCTTTATAAATTACTAATTCAGGAATTTTTAATGAAAATATATGAAGTCATTAGAATTAACGGGATATAATTAGCTATTGCTGATGATATTAATGCACAAGGGACGTCATCATTCGGAAAATGTAGAGTAGATAACGTTTGGGGAGATTTCACAAAGATACCACTTTCGCTAATAGATTATTTATTGGCTAAACTGTTTTCTGTTTTACTCTAAACTGTGAAAGTCATGCGTTCCGGTAATACCATATTTTTGACGATATGTTTTGTTGATGCTGCAATACTTATTTTGAGCAAAATACAATTTTTTATCCAAAAAGAAAACAAATTAAATGCTTGTTATTCTCGGAATCTTTTGATTAAGAATGATAAAATCGGAATAAATGCATTTTACCTTTAAGTAACAATAGACCGACAGAACCCCCGCTTTTCCTAGAACGACCCCAACATTTTTTTCGCACCCGCAAAAATTGCTCGTCCCGGTAAAGTGCATTTTACCCTAAAATATTAATATAATTTAGGGGTCATGTGGCGTAATAAAAGCATTTCATTTCTTATTAACAATAAAATACATGCACTGAACTATTTAGCAATCACAACAGTTAATTTGATCCTTAATTTAGTGAGCAACACATCTTTACAATAAATATTGTTTAATGTCCTGTGCTCAACGTATCCACATGGCATCAATTTGTCTCTTTCTGATAACCAACAGCAGAAAGTGTTTGTTATCTACATACAAAACACCATACGTGATTTCGGATGGTTTGATGAGTTACCATTTTTGGTTGGGTTTTCGCACCAAAACATCATAGGTCATATGGCGACTTTCCCGGTCTACTTGTAAAGGTAAACCACAGGAGCCTTCCCATGTATTAACTAGAGGATGCTTTTGTAAAAAAGCGCATGTCTCCCCACTGCACTGTGACCTTGACCTTTGACCTACTGACCCAAAAACAATAGGGATCATCTGCTCTATAAGACCAATCATCCTATGAAGTTTGAGGGCTGTAGGTCAAAAGGAACTCTAGTTATCATCCGGAAACGAGAAATTGACCAACGGTCACTGTGACCTTGACCTTTGACCTACTGACCCCAAAAACAATAGGGATCATCTGCTCTATAAGACCAATCATCCTATGAAGTTTGAGGGCTGTAGGTCAAAAGGAACTCTAGTTATCATCCGGAAACGAGAAATTGACCAACGGTCACTGTGACCTTGACCTTTGAACTACTGACCCCAAAAACAATAGGGATCATCTGCTCAATAAGACCAATCATCCTATGAAGTTTGAGGTCTGTAGGTCTAAAGGAACTCTAGTTATCATCCGGAAACGAGAAATTGACCAACGGTCAGTGTGACCTTGACCTTTGACCTACTGACCCCAAAAACAATAGGGATCATCAGCTCTATAAGACCAATCATCCTATGAAGTTTGAGGGCTGTAGGTCAAAAGGAACTCTAGTTATCATCCGGAAACGAGAAATTGACCAACGGTCACTGTGACCTTGACCTTTGACCTACTGACCCAAAAACAATAGGGATCATCTGCTCTATAAGACCAATCATCCTATGAAGTTTGAGGGCTGTAGGTCAAAAGGAACTCTAGTTATCATCCGGAAACGAGAAATTGACCAACGGTCACTGTGACCTTGACCTTTGAACTACTGACCCCAAAAACAATAGGGATCATCAGCTCTATAAGACCAATCATCCTATGAAGTTTGAGGGTTGTAGGTCAAAAGGAACTCTAGTTATCATCCGGAAACGAGAAATTGACCAACGGTCAGTGTGACCTTGACCTTTGACCTACTGACCCCAAAAACAATAGGGATCATCAGCTCTATAAGACCAATCATCCTATGAAGTTTGAGGGCTGTAGGTCAAAAGGAACTCTAGTTATCGTCCGGAAACGAAGAATGGACGGACGGACTGACGGACGGACGGACTGACGGACGGACGGACTGACGGACGGACGGACTGACGGACGGACAGGGCAAAAACAATATGTCTCCCCCCGAGGTGGGGGAGACATAATTAATACACGGAAGGGCATTCGAGTAGAACCAACAACTTGGTCGATAGCTTTCTCACATGAAAGAATCCAACATCCATAGCGGGATTCAAACTTACAAAGTTGAAGAGCAATTATGAGTTACTACTGCTCAATGTGAACACATGTGATTTCCAAAAGCAGAACAATCGTTTAAATCCAACCTTAAATCTTTGATTCATAAGTCCGTACACTACCGGGTTACAACCACTGTTTGCGTACCCAATAAGTAATGTAAACATATGAAACTCTCTCGGGACTAAATCAGGAATGTATATGGACAACAGCATGCTAATGCAGTACGGTAACCAACATATAACAAACAAGACAACAACTATTATCAACGAAAACGCTAGCCGTATCTCCTCTCGTCTTCTGATCTTTTTTGGAGATCGTAATTGAACTGAAGTATCATTCTTGGATTTGTTTGCCGCAAACTTTTTCTCAGTATCCGTTTCAGTCCCTGAATCTATCGCTGATGCGGATTCTTTTGAGAGTTCAGACACACTTTTTCTTTTCCAGCTGGGATGTAATAAATTGTTATCAACATTATTTTGATTCCTGTTTGATTCAGAATTTGTTTGTCGGTGAAATGATTTCACCTTTTCCTTACTTTGAGTTCCGTCTTCAAATAGTTTATTTCGTCGTTGACTATTCCTTCCTTGTTGTTTAATTAATGCGGAATTTGATTCGCTCGACGAATCGTCTGATAGAGCATCATGTAATGGACGTTTATCACTTTGTTTTTGATCTGTATTTTGAGCATCGTATTTAGGTATTTCTAAATGAATATCAACATGTTCATCATCCGCATTTATTGTGTCACTGATTGTCGTGTTATTGTTATTATATACTACTTCCGTTTGAGCGGTAACAGAGGGTGTGTTTTGCTTTGAATTGTTCACATTTTGTCCATCGTTGTCCTTTGGGGGTTCACAGTCATACGTACTGTTCACAGTCGAAGAGATCGTAGCTCTGTATGTGGTCTTGACTTTCCTTCTGCTTTCTCTTACTGATCGTATAATACATATGTTGCAAAATGTCATGACAGCAAAAGGTATTCCAAAGCAACACCCAATCATAAAGTAGGCGTAAGATTGGTAATTCACCCAATCGGCAAAACAGAATGAGTGAGTAGGCGTGTAAACATACTCTGACCAACCTAAAAGAGGCGGGGACGACAAAAGTACGGCACATGTCACGGTTGCTAAAAACATAAAAAATATTTGATAATTATAAACTACATGTATATGAACAAAAGACTTCTTTACATAAAATATGCCGATAATTTATTCTTAACATCTTATTACTTATTCTAAACAGAACACTGCCTATAGGATAACATGAGGTGTTGATGTACAAGATTTAACCTATACCCATAATAATATCTGTTCAGAGTTGATAATGCTTTGATAACTTAAAACTGCATGAGAAGCTAAAATATACAAGTACATTACATGAAAATAATCTTTAGATAACGACCAGACACTTACCAACTATCATAAGAATTGCATTTCTGGTAGTATAAATGTCCTTGAACTTGCTGGGGCGACACACCATGAAGAATCTATTGATTGAAATGTTGCAAAGGGACAATACGCTTGTTACAAGAGTGAGCATGTTGAGGAAACCAACAGCAACACAGGCGGTGTTAGACAGCATCCAGTAGCCCTTGATGATGGTGACTACGGTAAGAGGCATGTTTACTGTTGCCACGAGAAGATCTGAAATTAGAACAAACAAACACACTGTTAATGCATAATGATATTATTACGTTAACTAAGGGTAGGTTAATGAAATACATGATGTACTTGGACATGAACTGTTTAGTCCTCTTACTTTGCGATTTTCTTGATTTTTGAAAGATTCGCAGAAGGGGTAGTTAGTTATAGGAGAATATTCATGACTGAACTATGGAGACATGTCCTTTCTTCCGTTAAGACAATGCTAGAATTTATCTAAATTTTAGATAATATAGTTTTATACGATTATCGACTTTGCTTAACCTGCTGAATTTCATAAGTGCATATGTTCGGCTTCGATTTTTGGAACTGCACATTATCAGTTTCGGAATATCAAGAAAAATATTAAAAGTCAGTTAACAGTGTAAAGTCAGGTTAGAATGCAAGAAAGTGTAGGTTGGCCTAGTCCTTTACTGGTCACAAAGGCCATTCACTTTAGTTTTCAGCCGAAGGATGGTTAACAAATGTTATCACTCAAACATGGGATAGAAAGAGCATCGAAACACGAGGGTATCTGATTTGTACGAGTAAGCATAGCCCCTGTGTATAAATAACATTGCTGAGTGTTTTGAGATGTTGTTTCTCTTTTGTATCATAGGGGACAGTGCGGTTACTGAAGTTCTTGTAACTAATACTTGCACTCCAGTTAACGCACTGTGTATGCGATTTAACTATGTCACATTTTCGGTAGAAAAGTCTCTAAACTATGATGCAAAACTACGCATATAGCATAAATAGACATAGAAATACTTAATGATCCGGTGTTGATTGTTATACACACAATGTCTTCTGTAAATCTATAACCAATGATTGTACTATGTTTCAGAAATTTGTAGACAATACGATATGCCGCAGAAAAAAACATTTCATTTAAGAACGCTTTGTCTAAAATATATAAATTCTGTATAGAATGATAGGTTTTACAGATTTCGTAGTGGATTTAGAAAATATTCTTATAAATGTATTGCGGTTTTGCGGTTTTGTTCTTCTTCTATTTTTTTTAATTTTTGTTGATTTTTTTATTATTATCTTTTTAATTATGATTATGGTCGACCTTGTGTCGTCCAATAATTTGGCTTTCTGAACATAACTCTGCGGACTAAACTCTGTGCAATCTGAGAATGCTATTTATTTGTTTATCTGTCCGTAATTTACCATAAGTAAATTCCTAAATCATGCAGAAAACTAATAACAAACACACAGGTGAAAAAAATATCATTGTTCACTGTTGGTTTAAAGCAGAACCGGTTACAAAATTTACATTAATCCAATACATTGCAAGGAATCTATTTGATATCACTCAAAACAAACTTTGTCGCCTTAAACGATAAAACGATACAAACTTTTCTCTTTGATTGTTGTCTTTCTATAAGTGTTTATTATTCACTATCGAGTTTGTAAATGCTTCAACTTGTTTTTTTTCTTATTAGTTTCATTTATTTATTTATTTTTCATTAAAAAAGTATTTCGCAGTTTACGTATACACAATGATTTAAAGGATAAAATGTTACATTCAATATTTATTGATGACTTCCAGTTATCACCCATTTTAAGTTCCGTATATCCTGTGAACAGGTACATTTAAAAAAAAAAACTGTCTTAGCCCTTAAATATGTGACATTGCTTTCTCCGGAATGACTGTTGGAAAGAATGGGATAAATTATCCTCATTTTAGCAACAATATTCATTCATAAATTATATTAAGATAATCTTAACTTACTTGTAGTATAGTATGGTATGATATTTGACCCAACACATGCATATATTCTGTTTAACTAAAACATAGATATAATATAAGAAATTTGAATCATATTCTTCTGTTAATGTCATTGCGTAACCGCCATGAAAATAACAAAATTCTACTTTTAAGATAACATTAAGAAAATTAAATTCTTTGCATAACTGAATGGATGCGATCTGATCGGAAATACTTATAATAAAAGTCAGCTATTGTTAACCACAATAATTGAATTGATATTCCGTTTTAAGAAAGAAAATTGTTCTAAGGCACGGAAATAAACAGATATACATGTAAATGAATATACATAGATATAAACCATATTTATCATATTTTGCATATTAAACTAGGATTAAACCTTCACAGAGCTTAAGCGAGTCTTGCATATAAGCGTAAGTTATGCCACGAAGCAAACCCCATGAAGGCGACGAAAAGCCTAATTGAACGCTTGTTCTAAGAGAGCGTGACACTGACATGGGTACGAAACAATCATCTAAATGTGTTTATTTGTGGTTCTCGAATTAATCATAATTTGTCACATCGGAATCAGTAAATTTATCAAAATATCAACAGGTATAAACGATTTTTAAATGGCATAGATAAAAGATAGAAAGGCAAGAACAGAAATTAATCAAATTTGACTACCAGGGTGTGAAACAGGTGTAGGTTTTGTCTATTTTAGTTTTGGCTTTGCAATTTATTCATGACGAACCACATGGTTGCCTCTCATTATATCCAAAAGCAGCAGGTACATATACCAACGGACAATATACAAAGTTAACATGAAAACGGAATGATATAGACACAAATAAACACTAATTACAACAGAACAAGAGGGTGTCACAGTGCCATAAGTGCGAATTTAACATCAGCAAGACCGTCTGATTTGTGAAATAAACTTATTTTACATATTAATTTATCACTTCTGCCAATCCTTCAAATATCCAATTAATCATAATTAGAATTTCTTATCAATAAAAACATTAATTCCGTTTATACAATAAGTTCAAAATATCACCCCCACTGTCTTTCTTGTGACTTTATTGGTGAAATTTTATATGTGCTAACAAAATTGAGCTGGTCAATTCAAATCAAACCCAGGATCTCTTCTCAAGGTTTTGATTGAAATGCTGTGAAAAATCTATTGCAGTTTGATTCAACTGGTTGGTGAAAACGTGACTCATTTTCAGAAGAATAATGAGCGTATAGTATACAAGTATCTTAAAAATGATACTTTTATTTCAAAGAGATACACATTTATTTCAAAATATATATTTGTAAATTTATAAGTGACGAGAAATATTTCTCTGAAATATACCATATTCATAACTGGCTTTTTTTTTTAAATACCACGAGATGAAAATACATGTACATTCCGCATTTATAGAAAAAAAATCTTGACTTTTCTGTTAATTATACACATTTTCTCGTTTTTGACCTTACAATGCGAAAGACTTCCCTCATTGTTTTGTATCGGCTGAATTTGTAGCCCGGCAAGACACCAGTGAAAATACGGAAAATATGTTTCAATGCAATGCAATGCAAATATATATATAAAATGATAATATGCATATAATCGCATCAATATTTTTTAATACTTCAATTATAAGTTTTTAATAAAAAAAAACAAATTTATTAACATATTAGACATAATTATATTACTTTAACAACTTCAATAGTTATAAAATGACGTTTATATTACAAAAAGCGTGTTGACATTTCGACGAAATTCATGTATTCATACTAAGATAAGTCCGTGTAAGTCAAACGGTCAAGCGTTGTGAATCAAACGGTCAAGCGTAGGCGGTGCGAATTTCGCATTAAAATCTCAGCTTGATTCAAGATTAAGACGATGTGGCACTTACGTAGCTGCAAATACGAAACAACAGTACAATCCCTTTTAAAGTAAATTTTGATTTAGATAATTAATTACCCCTTACACCTGACAAGCCTTAAAACACACATGCTGTTGAAATTATCAAAGGGAATCAACTAAGCTGTTTAGACATGACGGGACGGGAGATATTTTTCATTGCTAACTATTTAGTGTAGGTCTGGGTCAATAACTTAAGTGTAGATTTATAGACTATTCTCTCACATAATCATTGATATTGGGCAAAAAAACCACAAACATGAAAATCGTTTTTGCAACGGCTTTGCTCAAAATGGGCTCAGAATCGCACAAAATATTGACTTTCAATTTAATTCTTGGTATATTTCAATTTTATCCTAAGTTTACAGATTTTTCCGTTTCAAGTGCTCCGCTTGATTTTTTTCCAAGATTTTTAAATTAAATAATTTTAGGCTGTTAAACTTTCGTGTAATTCCTTTAAAGGAGAATATATATGTACGGTTCAGATTAAGGCCCGAATTTCAATTTCCTAATTGCCTTAAAAAATTGTGATATAAATGTGCGTAAGAGGAAGGCACGCAGATAAATTATTTTATCTTATCTCAAAACATACAGTGTATTGTAAATTGATAAGAATTAAAACCCACAGTGATATAAATCTTTCCTGTTTACCATACACTTATAAATCATGTACTTGTAAGGACTTTAATGGCCCAATAAACTAAAAAAAATTAAAAAACTGAAGAAAAAAAAAATTTAATATATTTTTGTCCATAATACAGTTTCCTTAAAGTTACTCACTTGCCATATAGATAATACCAACCCTTTGCTTATTTTGCATTTACTATGATTATTGTGTTTTTAGTATTTTTATGGAAGTCAAAACATCAATTTGTTTTCATTTTGCTGCTTTTTATGGCAAGTTATTACTTATGTTATCTTTAATTACATTTGATTTGTTTAGTTTAGTTTAAACATAGTTTATTTCGAACAAATTCACAATATATATACAGACAATAATGTACACAATACAAACATAATATGCTGAAAAAGGATTGGGTCCGAAAGCTGAGCTTATAAAGGCCTTCTCCTTATAGATTTACAATGCATAAAATACGGTATGACAGTATATGTGATTTGCTTGAAATATATCTGATTTTACATTGTTTTTAAGAAGTTAAAGTCAAAATTGTTTCTAACATTTAGTTATAATGTAAAGCAAAAATTAATACAAAAAATGAATGAGAATACAAGACTGCATCATTTGTTATATAAAATTAAAGAGAAATAACGTAAATTAAGATAGAAAGAAATGAAGTAAGAAACTTTCAGCAAAATAGAAAAGAAGAAGAAATAAATTAAATGTGGATGATTCGGATAGTTCGGCGATTT